CAACAGAATTAAATGTAATAACTAATTATTTTAAGAAATGAAATATAAAAACAAAGGAATGATATTTTCTAAGATGTGGAACTTAAGGATGTATTAGTACCTACTATTTATATTTGATGAACTTCAATCACTTTAGAGCAAATGGTCAAACTCATACCATTATTTTCGAAAGCCGCGAAATTTGTATCCAGAGATCAACACGGAATAAGAACTCTTGCTGTTCAAATTTGGTCAACGGCATTGACCACGATCTCGTAATTCCTCGACTGTGTCTGCTTCACTCGTATAAACTAATTGTTTCATGTATCCTTATAAATAAAACTCTCAGGAGTTCAGCGAACAGGGTAACCAGGCAATGAGACCTTTTCGCCCTATTCATCTGTTGTTGTGAATGTTTAGTAGCGCATTCTTCAGTAATGTAGAAAAATTGTTTTGCAAAAAGTTGAAAGACTGTATATTGTCCATGCGAGCGGATAGAATAAATAAGATAAGTTGCATTATAAAAGTACTATTTACAAAGCCAGCTCATATGTTCATCGAAAATTTGTCTAATACGGATTTTCGAAGACCCGCACATGGGTATTGCGAAAATTCATTGTACCTTTACGAGTGAATCTTGTTTCATCCGCCACTAAAATTTGGTTAATAAAATTTTCACGATTCGCAGTTTGTTTGTTGTGTTGATAAGGATGGAACTGATTTTCATGTAATATGCGCCATACTTTTCTGCGCCATGCATTTACTGGATTAGTAATTTGCTAGCTACAAATTGCTGAATCTTCGCCTGCCATTTCTAGAATTTCCTTTTCAATATCTAATACCTGTTGGAGGTTTGGTCCACCGGTGTGTCCTCCACGATGTTCTTGTAATTGTCCAATTTCTCCAGCTCACTTTACGAGATTCGTAAACTGACGGGGCTCAGGAGATATCTTTGGGAACATCTCTCTTCATGAATTCTAGACGCCACAGCTACATTTTGGTGATATTCGCCATTAATTAACTAATATTAATCATAATAAACATTATCCATTCTGGATTATGGAATCTATAATACAAGGGCTAACTGTACCCAGTCGGTACTTAAGCCTCGCTTTTGGGCCCATTGTTCCTTCCCCTGTTTATCAAGGTGTCCTATTTGTCAAGTCGTTCAACTTGTTGGATGTACCTAAGCGCTGTAGAGGGTAGGAACTCCCTGATTTTTGCCATACTAGGCCAGATATCCCCTAGTATGAATACACGATACACGAATAATGTGTTCAGCTACCTCATTGCATCTACGACAGACTGCATCTGTTACTACCCCTGTTGTGTATAGATGTTTATTAAACTGGTTAGATACTTTTGTCGTTTTTAAACAAAACAAACATTTTGAAATATTAGTAATTGAAATGTATGGAGAGTCTTGTTATTACAATTTTAGCAATCATGTGTGAACAACGGTTAATTGAAATTTCTATAAACCATGAGGACGAAGATTTTTTAGAGATGCTGTTACCTACGACATTTTTGCGAAACTGAGTTACCGTGTCTTTAAAAACTGACGTCATATGAAGAGTGGGGGTATAAGACTGCGTAACCGCTGTTCTACAACACGGTTAGTCGCGAAAAGAAGCCTTAATAAAATGATTTGCTAGAGATGCGAAGGAGTTGTTCAATCCTTCCTGTGTAACGTTTTCACCTATTCTTACTTTTCTAACAAATTATTTTTTTCGTTGTTAATTAATCGTCAGCAGTCTTTATTTTTATTATATGAGGCGCGTGTATAACTATTGTAAACTCCTTTTGTAGCATTTATGATTTGAATTTCGTATTCTATTCTATAAAACTATAAGCCAAATGATCTTCTAACCGTTATAAGGTAGATGTATCTAATATCGGATAAAATATTTCACATTTTCTTTTAATCAAGTTGAATCAATTAAATAGCGTTCGCTTGCTGCTTCGGGGCCAGTATTAATGTAAAAATCCTAATCTAATAGTGTAAGACGCTCCCAAATTTTTGTGAAACCAGAAATACTGTAATTTGTTTTAATTATTTTATACGCATTTTTATTTAATTTGGCTTCGAATTCAATTGAGATTACTTGACACACTTGAGATATATAGATCTAAGACCTTAGATGTCAGTGGTCTATAATTAGGTTTCTATACAGGGATTTTACTAATGTTTGATATCTAGGACGCCATCCATTTTTAAAATCAGTTGGTATCAGTTGCATCTCACTGTGCATTAATACGTCGAATACTACAATAGTAGCAAAGCGCGACTTTGACATTAAATGTCAAATTTTATAGTGAACTTTAAAATTTCAAACTATATAATCATTTAATAAGCTATATTTATATTTACAAAAATCAAGCATTTTAATTAATTTTTTTAACTTTCGAGTTCCTAATTATTAGAGAGTGGATTTTATGAAATTTGCATATCCGTTATTTGTTCCATATAAGTCTTGATATTTAATATGTGAACGAATCATGCTAATTAAAAATGAATACAGCTATAAAAAAATTGCATATTTGCATATATTTGCCTTCTGCTGCATATTTCACGTAACGGGTGCATATTTTGCATTTTTATAAATTTTTGTCCTGATTTGAAAAAAAAAGATTGTCATTCTATCGGCATTTATCTAAAAAGACGAAATTTCATGAATCATATTGCAAATATTGTCTTGAGCTTCAAATAACTAGTAAAGGTTTGGGTTTTATGGTAGTTTGGATAAACCATTGCACCATTGGGTGTTAAGCCATTCTTCCAGGTAAATTCGGGCCCTAACTACTTTTGGTAATACCATTGTTTAAGTATATATAATATACTTAAACAATGGTAATACCGTTCATTCCCATATTTTTGTACGCGACTTAAGTGTAATAATGGTATGTTTTATGGTGGTCGAAGGGACGTTATTCTATTATTTTTCATCGTGAGTTTGTATTGAAAGCATTTAAAACGATACAGGTGTGTCAATATGTCGAAGATAACTCAAATTAATTTATGGATTAAACCTTTTCCTGCACTTATTCTTCAAGAATGAAACTCTGTTTTGTCGCGCCGGTAAGGATTATAAGTACGCAGTTTTTCTATTTACAAATACATACTTTAGAATCACCGGAAAAACTTTTTGTTAAAATATTTCGAAAAACATTTAAAAATAAATTGTTACCAAAATAGTAATTAAATAGTCGATTACTACTATTTTTCAATTTGTTCTATTTATATTTACTTTTTCGTATAAGAATATTATCTTTAAAAATGTGATTTATGTGTTAGTGAGATGTAATTAAACACTTTACAATGTGATTTATGTATTTTTTGTAATAAAATGTAAGCTCGGGAAACCTGTTTTTGTAATTTGTAAATAAATTTAGTTCGGTTATTACGCTTTTTTTTATTTTTGGAGCATACACAACTGCATATCTCTGCATATATTAACAAAATTACTGCATATTTGCATAAATTTGTTGCATATCATATGCTCATATTTCCCAGAATTTTGCTGCATAATTTCCGCTCTCTAACTAATTATAATACTAGAGGTAATGATTTGTTTTCTGTTGAGCTTAAAAGAACTAATTATGGATTTCACTCTCCTTATATAAGAATTGCAAGACTAATTAATGACATACCTTCATCTATAGATATATTTAATTGTAATTTGAATCTCTTTAGAAAAATGTTATCTTATAATCATATTTATTGAGTTTTATTATTTCTGTTTATTTTTAAGGTACAATCTGCATTGTTTAAATTAGATTAATTTTTATTAACTATGACTCATTAGTTTTAGGTCTAAATTACTTTGTAAATTGCCTATTTGGATTTTTCTGTTGGCAATTAAGTAACAATAAACAACAAAATTTCTATTTTTAACACATATTATTTCAAAACCTCAGAACCCTCTATGTACCTCATCTCATCAGCCATCAAAGTAAATATTTAAATAAATAGATTTACATTATTAAATAAAGTATTATTTCTTGTTAAAATTGTTACTCCACCATGTTTGTTCACTGTTATGCAAAAGTAACAAGATTAATTATTGCCACAAAAATGTTTGTTTTTGTTAAACAATATTTTTCTAATTAAAATATTCAGAAGCACAAAGTGCGTCAAAGATTTTCATTTAGGAAAAACAACAGTTCGTCCTTTCTGTTGGGTAAATAGTAAACATTTAAATAACTATATGAAATAAATTAAATTTATTTACGTTTTCAGTCAATTTTGACCATTACGTTCGTCACAGTTTTGTTGTGATGATCCAGAACAACTCATCTATGAGTAGACTGTTTTTTTCCCTTTTTAACATATTAATGTAACCACACTTTCGTTGTCTAAAAGTGTTTTCAATGTTTTCGAGCTCTTGGGGTTATCATTATATGTATTTATTTGTATTATTTATTTATTAAAATCTTTATATAACTCTGTAGATCTCAGCAAAGTGCTTCGTTGCAAGCGTCGTCAACTGATAATTTTAGCCGTAGAAACGCCAAGTGGCGTAAGTCAGTTTAAAACTCAGTGTCGATTTATGCCACATTACCTTAGTTTGAAACCCGTTCTTTGTTATATTATTATATAATGAACATACCTACGTAGTAGTCTTTTTCGAAAAATTTCGTAAAGGCACTAAAAATTGGCCTTTCAATAGGTACCTTGCTTTTACAGTGTCCACTTGGCATACGAATCTGCAGTTTTGCCACAAACTGACTTAGGTGATTTTGAGTTTCAACGGCTCAATTATGAATGCACTTTTGATTGATGATGATACAGGAAAAGTGTATGAATTTATTACAACACAAAAATGGAAAAATTATACCGAAAAATATTAATCAGAACGCAGAAGAAAGTTAATTTGAGAATTCAGATCCTATTATTTTGTATTAAAAAAAAAAAGTAAGCATGCTGCATTTTCAGTAAAAATTCTGCTTTAAGCAACAGCAAAAATTACGACTTGTTCCTCAAAACTGCTCTCATTCAATTAGTTCTGTCTAATGTTGTAACGAAAGTTCATCACGAGTTTATCGTTGTTAACGGAACGAAAATGAGATAAAGAGTTTATTTATTAATCCAATCTGCTCTCTTGACTCGTCTATAAAGTTCATCACAAAACAACTAATATCAGTTTAATTGCAATTCTGAGGCCATAAACCTAAAATGTAAGAGTATAAATTTTAAACAACGGCTACAGTACCGTGATCATAACATTTTTGTTCCAGGCTTCGCTTGCGCCTTTTGTTTTCAGTACTGATCATCTTGCCAGCAGTATATCTAAACAATTCTTCAACGGAGTGTAACTGTTGGAATGGTTACGTTGTAACAAATGCGACCATCATTGCCGCAAATGGTGAGGAATGTTTGGGAGCTACCTGGGTGACATTTAACCGGAGACATTTATGTAATGAGCCTCAAAAACCCGCATGCACTTGCACGAATGCTACTGGTATTTTAATTGATAATGAAGGAACATGGTGTAGTCATTATCAGAATGGTGTTCAAATTAAAAAGTGGACATGCCAGAATCGTGAAGAATGGGATACCTATAACGAAAAATACAAGAAATTCACCAGCAAGACACAGTAATGAAGGCTTTTTTTTTATAAAAATGTAATAATTGTAAAATAAAATTTTGACAATGATTTTTTAAATAGGGGCTCAACGAAAATTCTTCTTAGTCAGTTCATATATTTGTTTACAAAACGTCAATTGAAATGGTTCTTTTATGTTAAACCTTCAGAAACTTGATTTTACTTAACTAGGTTAATAAAAATACCTTAACAAAGTCGTACAATTTTTTCTGTATCCAGAATGTATGAATTACTACTTTTGACATACATTTATTGACAAAGTATCTAATCGATGAGTGCATAGTTTTTTTTCAAATGTCATAAACCTGACAACTAGTATGTTCTTATTGATAAGGTAAAAGTATATCTGCTAAGTTTATAGAATTAATGTTTTAGATTCGTATAGTAACAGTAGTTAGCCAGGCTCGAACCTAATTCAGTGAATTCTTAGTCAACGTCACTAAACGAGATTATGCGCATTATTTACCAGGCCGTCTGCATAAGTGTTATCACTTCAGTGTTTTTAAGAAAAATATAAATACCACGTTTGCTGATCTGGTGGTTTTCCTACACTTGTAAGTTTCTTTCCCGAGTGACGGTGAGCTTTAAGACGTATTTTCAAAACATTAATCGTCAACGTCAATTACCTTGATGTCTACAACTCAAAACACACAAGACTATGAATCACTCCGTGATCTCCGAGTCCTGGCTAATGAAACATTCTAACAATACAATTCGTTACTTAACTTTTGTAGTAACTTTAGAGTTGCGTTTCGGAAAATATCACTAACGTCAACATCACCTATAAGTCAGAATAATTAACAACTGTATTTCTTAAACGAAAAGAACCCATAATTTTCTAGATGTTCTTCTGCGACTGAACTAAACTGCCAACCTCCCTGGCATCAGTTCTTTTGTTGCATTTTCATACCTATAGCAGTTAAATCCGCTTATCTGTATTTACTTTATCTCCTCTTTCACAATAATAAATAATCGTTCTTATTTATTTATTTTGGTTTGAGAAATTGTATGACCCATAAAATTCCAAAATTTTCCGTTCATGATCTATTAAATACTAACACCATCTAAATACATAAACAATACACATTTCTATAAAATAACAAATGGCACTATTTGCCTTTGCTAAGAGTGAAAATCCTGCCCTGAAGCATCAAACGTAATGAATGACACAAATTTATTAAACTGTATTTAATACAAAGTTTGAAATTTGAGCTCTCGATACTGGATAACACAATGATAATAATTTGTGTTGAATGGAAATTGCAACACTCAAAAAAAGCGGGCGCTGCTAATATCCTTACCATATCAAATAATGGTTTTGATTTTGTCGTAGTACGCTATAAACACAAAAAGAAAAGTCGTTTTCTTGTTATTAGAAATAATACCAGTACTAGGTACCTCGACGTTGAAAGCTGCAGAGGCAGTTGTAACTCCAAAGTGGAAAAGCTCTCCTTTAAAAACAAAGATAGAATAGCTTCTTTCAAAATTACGATCCCACTTCAGGACAAATTATTGGATGAAAATTTATGGCCCAACGGGATAAAAATAAATCGCTATTATTTTCCAAGAGAACAGACGAACACTCTTTCCCAAAATAAAAGAGAAAATACAAATATGACAACTTTTTTAGGACAACGGCAAAAAGTCCCAAACTTGAACACTACCATAACCTCACACACCGATAACTACAAAATCAGCATCTTGTTTTTTAATGTCCAATCTTTAAGAAATAAAATCAATGAAACAGAAGATCTCCTTGAGGAGCATATGATGACGGATATGGGAGATCAATTACATTCGCCCAACCACAATTTGAAGCTGATGGTTTACCCAAATTAACGGCGCGCTCCTTCAGCAGAGTTTGTGAAATATCTGTTATTCGAATACCCATTATTAACTTAATAGTTGTTTCATTATATCGGCCTCCATCTAGTGCATTTGACGAATTCATAGCCATTGTAAATAGATTACTTACCTGTTTGGATGTTACAAAAAATATTATTGTAGGTGGTGATTGCAATATTGTACTTAATTCTAACGATACAAGGAAAAATATACTTTTAGATTCATTCCTAGCTTATGGTTTAAAGTCGTTGGTCAATTTTATTACCAAGGGGAACCATCGCCTAGACAATGTGTTCTGGAATATACAAACTCATTGTCTTCATGTTCTATTCACCTTTATACTTAGGTCTGTCGGACCACTTGGGAATATGGTTTGAAACAAATATTTCAATCAATCAGTTCAATGAGAATTCTTTAATTATTAGACCGATTACTGAAATTGGGAAATTCTATTTGTATAAACATCTTGAAGCGGTTTCTCAATGTTTTGCGGCACTATACCTGTCTCTCGTTGCCATAAAAAATAGTTAAATCATCTTAATGTAAACGCATTTATTAGTATTCATTGCTTAAAAATTGCAAATATACCACCAATTTTTAAAAAGCGGGAGCCCAATGAGATCAGTAACTAACGACCGATATCGCTATTACCCATTGTATCGAAAGTTCTAGAGAGAATTTCTGGATCAACAATGTAATTATTTTGTGGAAAAGAATGTATTATGTAACAATCAGCTCGCTTTCAGGCCCAGATTAAACACCTCTAAAACCATTATTGATATTGTTGATGAAATCACAAATTGCTTTGACAACGGCATTTTCAGTACAATTCGATTATCGATTATGTTTCCCATTCAATACTGACTGGTAAACTTTATTTCTACAATTTACATCCTACTAGTTGTCGTTTATTATCATCATATCTCTGCAATAGAATCCAACATTTAATGGAACATCTTCTAAGTACTTCCCTGTGGAGTATGGCGTACTTAAGAGATCTATTTTAGGTCCCCTTTTATTCTTGGCCTACATCAATGACCTCCCATCCAATATAGAAGACTCAAAAGTTATTCTCTACGTTGATGACACCACCATACTCAACAGCAGTAGCAGTCAAAATGAATGTATTGACAACAATTTGGAAGCACAATCTAAGGCAAAGCTACGGTTTGATAGCAACAGTTTAGACATGAATATCGACAAATCGGTGTATATGTTCCTCATTTTTAAAACTAGCGTAACACTAAATTTAGGTCAAGCCAATAAGACACTTTTTCCTGGCATTACCATCGATGACCAGATTCTCTGGAATGCCCAGGGAGACAATTTAGCGAAGAAACTAAATAAGAACACGTACCTTTTGAGACGACTAAGTAATAATGTATCACAAGAAAACATTATTAGTTGCTTATTTTGCATTTCTTCACTCTGCAATTGAGTACGGTAACTTACTTTGGGGGCATTCTACTTGCCCACCCAGGATGTTTGCTCACCAAGCTGGACTTCAGTACCTACCGTGATGATTGCAGATCTGCAATTGTTGAACTTAAAATTTTAACTGTGCCGTCAATCTTCATCCTCCTCCCTTGTGTATTACATCTTAAAGATGATATTGATAAATATTTTAAGTTCACTGACATTCATTTGTACAAGACCAGAAACAAAGAACATTTAGTTCTCAATTCACGTCGTTTGAAGAGAGTACAAATACGCACAATACATATACTTCGCTGTGCAATTTTTTAAAGTATTACTCGAAGAGTTTCGTAATAAGATAGATTTAAAAAAAAAACCTCAAAACTTTTCTTATTATGGATTGTTTGTATAGTTTTGAGGATTATCTTCGGTGTAGAAATTTTAATAGTTTATTGATTTAATTTATTGTATTTGACTTGTGCAAAACTGTATTTGTAAGTTTTTAACATCAATAAAGTGTTGATTGATTGATTGATTGATTGATTGATTGATTGATTGATTTATACTTTTTTGGGGTGTTGTAATTTCAATTCATAGCAGTATATAAACCTTAGAAATAGAATTATAGGAAAACGGGAAGCTTATTCTGCAACGGATCTACAGGTACAAAATTAAAATTTAAAAATATGCGTGGGTTGAAAGAAGAATATTTTACTGATTGAAACAACTTCCACGGTTCTATTGATGAAATAATAAGATGAAGATAAGTTGTCAAAATTGATAGGACGAGTAAACGCGTGGTTTAAATTGATCAACTCTATAAATTTACTAGTTAATTTTTCTTAGGGAATCGGTACGTTCTGAAGCAACAGTCCATTTAAGTATTTCTAGAAAACAAGGTTAATATACATGAAATTCATTAAAAATCGCTTGTAGGCCTACTTTAAATAAAACTTTAGTTTTAACATAACACAGATATATCTCTTTTCTCTAAACAGGAGTACTTCTTTGTACAACGCTTTGAATTTAATTATTTCATTGTTTTCAGTTTCCAGATAGACAAGATGTCTCTACACACTAATAAGTATTTAGCACTGTACGCGTGTATGTTGCTGATCATCTTGTGTGAAATATCAAAAACGCATGGTTCCTTGCATAAGTGTGGAAGGCAACATATATTTTTTATCGAGAGAACTAGACTGAGTTGGTTATATATTATCGAAAAGAAAACTTTCTCTAAATAAGTGCTTATGAATGTTAATGGGTTTTAAGTCATTTTATCGTCATTCAACGAATCTACGTAATTACTAATTATCTACTTTGAAATAAAGGATGCTTCATTGTAATGTGTCTCATAGTCATAACACACTCATTAATAATTTGTCCATGATCATTCCATGATAAAATATTTCCAATTTAATTGTCAAATTAATTTGACTTTTGTTTTTGAATGACTTATCAGTGACATACCTACCTAAAAAATTTCTCGGGCTTACATTTTTCGTATAATTTGAAATGTAAGTAATAATATAGATATTTCCTTTTAGTAAAGCCAAAATTAAAGCACTTTTTCTACAACATATGAACTACATTATGCTTGATTTTAGGGCTGGTTTTATGATTTTTTTGAGCATATTATGCTTAATTCACTTGGTACATTTGAAGGATGATCCGTTTAGTTGCCAGTGCTGGGATGATTATGAAGTTACCAATGATACTATACTGGAAGAGCGAGGCTTAGAATGTTTGGGAACTTCGTGGATCACTTTCAATAAGAGACATTATTGTAATGAACCTCA